TAAAGATCCTATAATCTCTTTTCATACAATTAGTTTTAACCCTTTAACAGCTTTACATATTAAAATACTACACACTAATGACTCTTGTGGAAGCTGGTAGGAGCTGTAAAGGGCATCCTAATCCAGTTCTTGTGTAAGCAGTAATASGAGAATTCAGGATGAGATTTTAAATCATGTGGAGATAAGATGATAAAATTCTCACATTTTTCATTTTACATTTCAGGTAATGTCTCAGTCACACSTTCCCACTCTTTTGGCCTCTGTATGAGAAAGCAGTTTGATCTCCCGGGTAAGGCTGCATTGCTTTATGATCACATGAAGGGCCAGGAAGCTTTATCCTTCTTTCCTTGGTCGAGGAGCAACCTAAATGTTCCAGCAACTATTACAGCTGACTTGAGATTCCTGGATTGCCACTTTGAATACTTTGCTTTGAAATGYCCAGTTCTCATCTCAAATTGGGACTGGGAAAAATGATACACTATGGGGAATCCTAYTCTGACAAAAGTCAAATTGCTGGCTAAATTATCAAATGCATAAAGGCAGATTTGTGGACACATCATGTGGATTGAAAAGTCGAAGTTTCCTTTAATAATGCACATGATAAAATACAGTGGAGGCCTGCATCCTATACACTTTTTTTAGAAATTATCATCGTGTGAGTCTCCTCAGAGGAGCTGCTGTCCTGCTTCTTACCTCTCTTGCTACAGAACTGTCAGAGCATGAACCATGAAAGAGAGAAAAGTAACAAGCTGCAAGTGCTTATTCCATGGTGCTAAGCAGCTCAGGATGCATTTTCTGAACCATCTTAAAATTAATACTGATGTCTATGCTAATTTGCAGTATAATGAGGACCACATCCATTTGTTGGTGTTAGTGCAGAGAGGGCTGAAGAAACTGGAAGRAAGAGAAACAAAAAAATCTGTCTGCCAAAGAGTTGTACGTGTGTGTACACGTATGCCTGCACTGTACACTACAATCCAACAATGTTCTGAAACCTTTATCCCGACAGCAGATCCCACAAAGAACCAAACTCAGGCACACCTRTCTTCTTCCTGCAAGGGGCAATCCAATAGCTGGTTGAGGAGTAAGCATTCCCCTGGGGAAATGGGCACCACGTCCCCAGAGCCACCACCCCGCAGCAGGAGTGTGGGGATGATCCCGGTGCCCGTTCAGAGTGGCACACATGTCCCCAGAGCCACCATCCAGCAGGGGTGTGGGGATGATCCCGGTGCCAGCCATGCCCGTTCAGAGTGGCACACATGTCCCCAGTGCCCGTTCAGAGTGGCACACACATGTCCCCAGTGCCCGTTCAGAGTGGCACACATGTCCCCAGAGCCACCACCCAGCAGGGCTGTGGGGATGATCCTGGTGCCTGTTCAGAGTGGCACACATGTCCCCAGCTGCCCATTCAGAGTGGCACACACACGTCCCCAGAGCCACCAGCCAGCAGGAGTGTTTGGATGATCCTGGTACCCGTTCAGAGTGGCACACATGTCCCCAGTGCCCGTTCAGTGTGGCACACATGTCCCCAGAGCCACCATCCAGCAGGAGTGTTTGGATGATCCCGGTGCCAGCCGTGCCCGTGCTGCCAGCAGGTGACCAATGGCAGGTGTGGGCACTGGGGACAGCGCTGCTGGCACCGCTGGCACCCGCTGTCACTGCCAGCTGAGGGCACAGCTGCCACCAGCAGCAAACAGACAGTGCCACCAGCGCAGTGCCCTCCAGAGTGCTGCATTCATTAGCTAATGATGCTCAGCCCTATCAGAGAGCACGAGATAACTGTGTTTAATTAATGTACATTTTAATTGTGGCCAGGCAGCGCCAGGTTTGATGAATGTWTTATCTTTTCCGTTCTGCACTGTCACCGTGTTTGTACCGTTAATTTGCATCTGAGGCTGCAGGAGCTGCAAAGAGGCCCCGTTTTCACCGTGTCATCCTTCACACCGTGACGCTGGCTGGGACCTCTGCCTGCTGATAGCAGTGTCATCCCTTCCTGCAGCCACAAATTAAAGCAGCTTTATGACCACATGCTCCGAGACCCTCTGGGGCCCCAGAGGAGGCAGACAGAGAACAATCCATTCACTCATCTCTCCCCTTATCCATGATGGAAGTAGAAACAATTGCATCATTTAATTTACTATTGCAATGGGGATATGGCTCAGTGGCCCCTCGTTGTTTTGAAGATGGATTTAATTAACCTCCTATGAATCTTGCCAATATGTGTGGCAGCATCAGTATGGAATGAAAGATGTCAAAAAATCAGCTGCAGGGTAATGAGCATTTCTCAGGCTTGCTCTGCTGAGAGGACTTAGGGCTCCAGAGCTTGGCCCCAGCAGAAAGCTGAGGGGCAGACTGAGTTCATACACTGCTGAGTGGCCTCAGGGAATCCTCAGGTTTGCCTTGGACCACTAAGAAGAGAGGTAATTGAATAATTCTTAGTAGCCACATGTATCTTTAATGCAGAGGCCATTTGCAATCACTAGAAATATAAATAATTGCAATTAACTACACTGTTAAGTAAATATATCCAATCTCTTGGGGAAGCAATCTGCATGCTTTTRTAAGTCTGGCTACAACATAAAACTCATTACAATGTCTGTGAAAGTAATTTATAATTAACATTTAGCARGTGCCTCAGATGCGTTGCTGCCATTTACCTTCATTAATAAAGTTGTCCTTATCAGACCTGAAATTGTATGCATTTTAACTTAACAAATCTTTATTACACTCTCATTTTATGGGATGTAGTTTCCTGCATTTCCTAGAAACATCTGAGCTTTTAAAAAATGTTAAAGTCTTTATGAAGGAAGGTATTTACAATGAACTGTTTGAGATTATAAAACCAATCCAGGATCTTACCTAACTGGATGCTTTCATACCTGGATTGAAAACATGATCTGAAACTCGTAAGCTATTGACTTATTCCATAATGTGCTGGTTTATTTCAGAAATTAAAAAAAAAAAAAAGTGTGTTTTTTCTTTTACAATGGCTTGGTATCCCTTTACTGCAGGAGGGRACTTGATGACAGCTCTGAACTACCACCACTGTGGAGCTGTGAATGAAATGGTTGTACCTGAGATCCTGAAGGCCTGGGTGCAGCAGCTGCACTTTATCAGTGCCCAGGAGAGGAACAATGTCTGGTTTGCTTTGTGATRGGGAGGCACTGCTGAGTGTGCCCACAACTGCATACACTTGCTTTTTATGTCCTGTTAGTATTTTTAACACAATGAAATTTTACTGGTTTCTCAAAGCAAAATTAGTCAGGATAGAAAAAAAAAGAAATCACTGCTGTGTTTGTAACAAGCATGTGCAATTCTTTCGAGCCCTTTTCCTGATGCATTCAAATAATCTGCAAATATTGTTTAGATTAAAAAGTACACCCACATAAATATTTGCACCTGACAAAGCAGCCAGGTGGCTGGAGATGCCTCCTGTGCATCAGGAACAAGAGCCTCATCCTGACAGGTGACCTGTTTTTATCCAGGGAAACACATCTATACCAATGAGGAGATAATTAAGTCTCCCCATCCATCCATTACCTGACTACCTCACTTGAATCAGCTTTTCAAATCAGTGATAATTGTCTAATTAACTATTAATCTTTTTAAYGACAATTACTAATGGGTCATTCGTTGGCTGGACTTTGCAAAGATCATTGTTAAGTGTCCAATGCATGGAATGAAACAAGTTCAACYTGGAATATTTCTTCATATTTGAGTAAAATCTAAATAAATTGTTCAGACCTGAGAAGCTGAAGTTTATCCGCTTTKATTTTGAACWAGAGATGTTTGTTCAGAAGAGAGCRAGTGACATCTCACCGAAGGAGGTCCATGTTTTCCAGGGACACACAGGGACAGGGACAGAGTGCTCCTCCAAGTTCTGCTGGCACAAGCACACTGGATAAAGGCTCAAAATGCCCTGTGCTTACCCTACTTGCTCTGCAGCTCACTCTGCTTCCACCATTTGGGGTTAGTGACAGTATTTTGTTTGATGGGGACCACTTTGAAAATTCACAGACTAAATGTAGAAATCTTAATCTATTGGAGATAACTCTGCTGCAGCGTGACTGACACGTGCTCTCAGACAGGAACATCCTCAAAAGCATCACCACACCACTAGTGAAGAAAAAAAGGCATAATAGTTCCAAATCAAGTGATCTGTGAACACTGATGATAACCACAGCAGCCATGGCATGGCAGAGCAGCTTTTAACCCTCAACACATGCAGAATGAAGCTGCATATCCTGAATTAGTGATGGGACTTTCATTTCAACTATGCTTTAAGCTTGTTGGCTAAATGCCTGCACTACAGAAAGGATTCCAAGAAGTTTTCAGTTCCATATGCAATAGTGTAACATCAAACCCCTGGTTTGCAGCAGATGGACTAYTGACCATGGAAGGAAAGAGAAAAGCACCTGGAGAGGGGGAAGCCAGCCTTTGGCACACAGGATATTCCCACAGTTTGATTTACAAACCAAAAACTTCTGGCTTAATAGATACATGCATACCCTCAAGGACACTAAAAAGACATTGTAGTACCCCAGAGAATTGAAGTGGGTAAACAATAACACTAAACTGGTTTTCAACCTGGGTATTATTTGTGACTCCACGTTACCTGGAGTTGGATGTCRCCATTCAAGTCAAGGTTACACCAATTTGAAATGAGTAGAGTTCAGTACATTTTTTTGGCTATACACAACTCCCCCAGTCACCCTTCCACACCAAGATGCCAGCTATGGCACAATGGTCTGCACTGATGGCTGCCTGTGCTTTTAAAGTGTGGAGTTCCATCATGGACACTTAGGAAACACCTCTTGTTTTTTCCTCASAGTAGGAAGGTAATGCACCACTTCCTCTGCTTGCAGAAAATTATTCTGATTCACCAAGAGCTATACAATGTTAAYGTTACTTTGTTAAGTCACTCTTAGCTTTTCTACAGGAAAAAAAAAGAGAAATCAAACCTGGTAGGATCTACAACAGAAGAAAAAGAGAAGTCCTACCTCTACTACTGCTTTGGCATCCAGTCTAAAGTTGAAATCTCCAAAGACAAAATATGAAACTTTCTCAAACCGCTGATCTATAATTCTGAAAAAAAAAAAAAAAAGAAAACAGAACAAACCTGTCATTCAGCCTCATATACATGCAAGAATGTACAAACACATATATGTGATCCTTAAGCACAGTGTCAGAAATAATTATCAGAACCAAGAAAACTACCAGTTTATACTGGATCCATATATTAACCGTATTTTTCAGTTGATTTTCTTTGCTTAGGCAATTCTGTCTCCAGCCCTGTACAACAGTGCATTTGATTCCCCCTGCCTGGCTGACAGAGCAAACCAGGGAAAGCATTTCTGCAGCAGTTCATACAAATCTTGCAGAGGTGGATTTGGGGAGCACAGAAATCCTAAGGGTATCATGGAGGTCACACCTTAGAAGTTTTAGGACATGGCTTTGGGTTGGGCAGGTAAGAATTAGGAATGCTGAATGAGCAGTGAGTTCAGAATGTGCTKGAGTTCACTGATATATAAGCAGTGTTACCAATGTTTTTGAGTACTTTGAGAATGACACGAGAAGTGATGTGGTAGACATCAATCATCCCATCTGACAGACTGAGCATCCATGGGGTTCCCACACTTCTCTGAAGACACCTCTCTGCGTTGTTCTCAGCAGRTTTTTGCTGAGGCTGTAGCTAACACCTAACAAGTAATTGCTCAAGCTGTAGAGTGGAGACCAACTTTTCCTCAAGCCTTAACTCAGTTCTACCCAGAGAGGGAGATAWGGCATTACTATCCATCTTTAAATCTTGTGTTATTAAAAACTCATTAGATTATTAGATGATCTATTATTAACAACTCTCAACAATAYGCAATTTTACAATATGCTTCTAGAGATTGTGGCATTTACAAATACACCAAGTCATGGTTGTTTTCAAACCAGGAATCAATCCAATTCATCTCCTATCGGTGGCTGAGGAAGGTATGAAACACCCACAACTTGACTGCTACAGCCACAAAGAATTCATACAGACAAAATGTACAAAACTCCACTGGGTGTGCAAGAAGTGAGAACTAAGGAACAAATGCAGGCAGTATGCTGTGAACATTCTGGGAATACATAAACACGTAAATGTTACACTGTCAGAAGCTCCAGGTGAGTCTGGGCAGGGTTAGTGCCCATTTCTCTTCACATCCTGCTGTATTTTGAGAAGGGGCAGACAAGCTGAATGAAAGAGCTGAAGAGCTTTTTAGCCATGATGGGCAGTAAGAGAAGGAAAGATTCAGGCAACTGCTACTTTCAAGTAGAGTTTACAGTCCAAGTKAGTCCTATGCTGAAATGTTTTGATGAGTTAAAGTCAAGATTTGCACTTTTTTTAAGGAGTAAACTTGACTGTCACTGATAAGGGGCACTGCAAATTAACAGTAGATTACTACTGCAATTTCTTTGCTGCAAAATAAATACATCTTATTAAATAAATCTTATTTTGGTCTCACAAGTGCAATTTGGCTGACACTGGGAGTCAGCAAAAGCTTTAAGGCCCATGAAGAAGCTCCCGTGTTGCACTGGAGAATCCTCACTCTGCTGGGTCAGGCAGGGATCAAGCAAACCTCGTTCCCCAGCAGAGTTTTTACACGGCAGACCCTGACACCCTGTCCTGGGACAAAAGCAGCTGCTGTTCCGGGGGCACGGGGTGAATTGTGAGGAACCTCTGAGCTCCCCGAGCTGTGCCAAGGCTGGGATGGGAGGGCTGGATGAGCACGGGACATGCAGGGACAGGGCACACAAATGCCACAGTGGAACATGTGCTCAGGGTCTCCTCTGGGAGCCTGGGCACCCCGAATTGCTCACTTGTGGGGACAGACCTCTCTCTCAGCCTGGGGGCAGTGTCAGCTATGTGGACTGTGAAGGCAAAGTTCTCTCAAAGCCCTTAGAAAATTCAGATCTCTACCAAGACTAAAACAAGGAAGAGGCAGAGGTTCCTCTCCTCAATACTACTGCAACTTTATTTCAGTTGCTACACAGATTCAGTGCAATCCTAAAGTGAACAATCTTGTGCTATTGCAATCACTGAAATCCTTTTGAAATTTATTTCGAAGTACTCATTATAGTAGCTACAAGTAAAGTTGCTTGATGAAATGCACCTCTTTCATAAACGCTGTATGGAGCACCACATATGCACTTCAAAGCACTGAAATTCAGCCAGAAAATAATAAGACCAACTTCCCCTTGCTTTCATACTTYTCCCCCTCCCACACTGTCCCCCCTCCAGAAGAACGGAGAAGACAAGGAAACAGTTAAATATCAGCAATTTGGTCATGGAACAGAGCAGCTGAACATGATTCAGTGTGACAAGAGGCACTGTGATTTGGCTAAACCATTTCTCAGAGCACTTTGTAAGGAGGATCAGCAGCATTATTCCTTTAATAGCCATGTCTAATGCAATAGCCAGCTGGGTTTTGTCCCAGACCAAGGTATCAGCATCAGGTCAGAAGGTAACATTCTGTTTACATGATTATTTCCTAAAGCACTTATCTTCTCCTCGGTGTGAAAGTTGACTTTTCTGTTTGTAAGGAGGCCTAAAGAATTGAGGGAATGGGAAAAATTAGCTCCACTGAGCTGGAGCTGAATGGTTTTAGGTGGGAGGTCTGAGAAAGGCTGCAGGACGCTCAGCAGGACACCTTATTAGACACGTCACCGCAGTTCATTCAGGCAAGCCACAGCAGTGTCACCAGCATTCCCACACAAAGACAAAGTTCCTCACACAGTCTATAAACATGCCTCCCTGGCCAATTCATCCTAACTTGACACCGCTGAAAAGAGGGGCTTGAGGGTTTGGGGTTTTTTTAAACACAACAATAACATAACAAAACAAAACAAAAACCGTGCAGCTCGGCCAGGCAGGCTGAATGGGGGAGAAGGAAGGACACTGTCACGTTTCTTGAAAGAATCCAGAGGTCAAGCCATATTTTATTCAGTGAGCATATTTTTATAATAACTAAATGTGTTTAAGATAAATACCAGCTAATATGAGCCCCTCCATCTGCGTCATACAACTTCTGGGTGAAGATACTATCTCTCCACAACCAATTTATTTCTATGCGTTATCTGCACATAGGATTTACAGACAGAGAAGCTTTTACAAAGTACCTAGAATCAAAGGATGGTTTGGATTTAACATGTGACTGCCTGTATAAAATGTTTTCTCCTAAGTGAAGGAATATGAAGATCACAACTGACACACTGAGATGAGAGGACAGTTCACTCCCAGTGTGGCCATAATTTCTCAGGAAAATCTGCTTACCTCATTTACTGCAGCGCTTAGAGATTCTGTTKGGAGCTGAGGCAGCAGAAGCAGCGCTGGGCTCTGTCCCTACAGGGCTGCAAAACCCCTCTGTCCCATTGGGAGAAACGCTGAGGGAACACGTGGAGYATTGGCTGTGTGCAGTGCACGAGTGTGGACCCTGCCCATGGCAGAGTCACTGCATCCATCAAAGCCATGGGCAACTCACTTCTCTCGTCCAGTGAGGATCTCACCCAAGAGGAAATGTTTAGAAAGGGGGAAAAGAAAATTAAATAAAAGGCAGCAAGTGACTTGGCCATTCTGTTGGAGAAGCCAAGAGCTGTTTGGGAGGTGGCAGGTTCCCATGTATAAGGTTATCCACACCTTTTGCACAGATCTCTGATGCCAGAGGTGGAAACAACTCCGGCAGTGACTTCTGGTGGGAAATGARGGAACTACAAGACTGAAACCTGCCTCCTGCTCCAGGCATGTTGAGGAGCTGAAGACCAAGAGGATAAAATATTAGAAATACCAGGATTTGGTTTAGAGCACCCCAAACACAGCAGTGCTGTGGTGTGACCATTCAGATTTCTGCTGKTCTTATCTGCATTGCTTTTTCTMAGTTTTACTCAGATCAGCTCCAACWCCTGCTCCTTGAGAACCCTTCTACTCTGGCAGAGGTTTCAGAGACAACTTTCAAATAGAACACTGTCCTCTCCTGTGCATCACCTCCCTTCTGCAGCTCCAGTGAAGCACCCTTCTGCAATTTCAGATATGCATTTAGGGACAAATTCCAGAAAATTCCCTGTCAGTTCTGAGTACAAGTTACCTGGTGACTGATTGCTCAAGTGTGCCTCAAAAGCCATGATGGAAGTGCCTTCATTGGCATGCCCAAAGTGGTGTAGTGCTGTCATTAAAAAGATAAAGTTTATAATATTTTTGTGCCTTGTTCTTTCTGATATAATGGCTAAAACCTATTAATAATACCAAAACATCTCAAAAGGTCAAGCACCATACAGCAAGATGAAGGGAATTGTGAAGAAGCTTAGGCAATCATCTTAGCACTCAAGACATTTGCCAGGGCTGTTTAACTAATAGGTGATGTTCACTTTTAATTTCAATATAGTGCCATTTGGGCAAAAATCTTGTTTTTCTAAATTAATTACAATGTCAGCAGCTATTAAGATTAAAAGAAAGACCACATCAATAATAAATACTTAATCCAAAGAACGGATTACATGAAGAGCAATAAAAATCAATTCTTAGAGCTGGAAAATTGTGACTTTTTCCTCACTTGACTGGTATTTTCATTATATTGACAAACCCATGATCTTACCTGACACTGACATTCGCCTAATGAAATAGCAGCCCTGGATAATGATGTAAGGACTTGTCAATTCTGCACAGGACAACACAGTGCTACAGCACTGGTGTTATCAAACAAAGACATTTCCGTGCTCTTCAGCTGATACAAGAGAAAACTAAAAGCAACCAGAGAAATTGTATGTCTTTTTGAATCTTCATGGAATATTAACATCCTTCCACATAGCTTCTGAGCTCTCCAGTGTTGGTGACACCTGGTGCTCAGCAGACAACTGCCCAATCTTTCTGCATGAAGCACAAAACATCCAAATTCTTGCTTTTTGTTCCACAGGGCTCAGATGTGGGAAGCAAAGCCAAAATCCTGTGGTCACTTAGTGTTGAAAGTGCAAACAGCGAGACAGAAATAACCAGGATATGTGGCAACAGGATATTGATCCATTAATTGTTAAGGCTGAGGGAAGTATTTTTTGTGATATATCAA